GCTCTCTTGGAATTTTGGAGGCAACTTGTATCACAGTTGGGAGACTTGCTCTCACTCATCAGCCAAGAAAGCTCTAAGGCTGGGGTGCCTTGGTGGCTCAGTCGGTTGGGCATCTGCCTTCAGCTCAGGTCATGATCCCCGGGTCCTGGGATTGAGCCCTGAGTCTGGCTCCCTGCTCAGCGGGGAGCCTGCTTCTTCCTCTCCCTCTCCCTCTGCCGCTCCCCTGCTTGTGCTAATAAATAAATACAATATTTATTTTTTAAAAAAGAAAGCTCTGGATGCCTGGGTGGCTCAGTCAGTTAAGAGGCTGCCTTTGGCTTGGGTCATGATCCCAGTGTCCTGGGATTGAGTCCCACATCGGGCTCCTTGCTCAGCAGGGAGCCTGCTTCTCCCTCTGCCTGCCACTCCCACTGCTTGTGTTCTCTCTCTCTCTCCGACAAATAAATAAATAAAATCTTTAAAAAAATAGAAAATAAAAAAAAGAAAGCTCTAAGACTGCTTGGGCCCCATGAAAGAGAAGGTTCTCTAGATGTACTGCCCAAGATGTATTGCAAAGGACTCTGACATCGGGTCTTCTAATCCAGCAATCCAGGGGTTCTCAAAAGTGGCAAATATACTACAATTTACGTGTCTGTTCCCCTATTGATGGGCATTTAAGGGGTTCCCACTTAGGGACTATTTTTTGATTAATGCTGCTGTGAACATTCTTGTTCATGCCTTTTTTTTTTAAAGATTTTTATTTATTTATTGAGAAAGAGAATGATAGAGAGCCTGAGAAGGGGGAGTCAGAGGGAGAAGCAGACTCCCTGCTGAGCAGGGAGCCTGATGCGGGACTCGATCCCGGGACTTCAGGATCATGACCTGAGCCGAAGGCAGTCGCTTAAACAACTGAGCCACCCAGGTGCCCGTTGTTCATGCCTTTTGGTACACATTTGTTGGATATATACTTTTGGGTGGAATTGTTAAATCCCAGGGCAGGCTTATTTTCAGCTGTAGCTGATACTGCCATGCCATTTTCCTGAGTGTTTTTTTTTTTTAAGGTTTTTATTTATCCCTTTGAGAGAGAGAGAGAGAGAGAGGATGAAGTGGAGGGGGGGAGAGGCAAACGGAGAGGGGGAAGCAGACTCTCTGCTGAGCAGGGAGCCCAGTGCAGGGCTTGATCCCAGGACCCAGAGATCATGACCTGAGCCAAAGGCAGACGCTTAACCATCTGAGCCACCTAGGCGCCCTCCCTTTTATTTATTTTTTAAGATTTTATTTATTCATTTGAGACACAGAGATACAGAGAGAGAGAGAGCATGAGCAAGGGGAGAGGGAGAAGCAGGCTCCCCCACTGAGCAGGGAGCCCAACTTGGGGCTCGACCCCAGGATCATGACCTGAGCCGAACGCAGACGCTCAACCATCTGAGCCACCCAGGTGCCCCAACCCCCTCCTTTTTTTAAAGATTTCATTTTTAAGTACACCCAAGGTGGGGCCTGAACTCATGACCCCAAGATCAAGAGTCAGATGCTTTTTCCACTGAGCCAGCCAGGAGCTCCTTCCAAAGTGGTTCCAAGGGAGATACTCTAACACTCTATACTTCTGTATTCCCGGCACCAAATGCCTGAAGGTTTTTCCACAGCAAGCAGTTCTGCAGCTGGGGGATACCAGCTGATGTTCCGCACTTCAATTCCGTTCTGATACTATCTACATGGAGTTAGCAGGAGATCCCACAGGTTAAGAGCTCATTCTCATTAAGACTGCCCACCCCCAGCCTCAGCCTTGAATTGGAAGCACTTCTGATTGGCTATAAATCGGAGGGTTCCTACAACCTCTTCTTCGGGTTCCATTAATTTGCTAGAGTGGCTCACAGAACTCAGGAAAACAGTTTATACCTACTAGGCTACCGGTTTATTAGAAAGGGTATTAAAGGATATGAATGAACTTAACTCATTCGAAGGAACCAGCTGAAAAATAAAGCTGGTTCAAGTTGGCGATGAGAGGTGGGTATGTATAGACAACATAAAAAAGAATGCAGGAGGGGCACCTGGGTGTCTGTGCTCAGCAGGGAGTCTACTTGAGATTCTTTCTCTCCCTCTCCTTCTGCCCCTTCCCCCACTCGTGTGTGTGCACACATGAGCTCTCTCAAATAAATCTTAAAAAAAAAGAGAATGCAGGAATTAGGTTGGAAAGTTTGATACAAAACTGATTAATATCATTCAAGGTTGTCTTTTCTGCCAGACAAAAACCACTTGAAACTTGAGAATCCTTAACTTTTCAGAGTCTAGACCTTAATCAACAAACAGTAAGTCAAAATGACATTTAGAGAGGCGCCTGGGTGGCTCAGTCAATTAAGCGTCTGCCTTCAGCTCAGGTCATGATCCCAGGGTTTTGGGATAGAGCCTGGCATCGAGCCCCGCATCGGGCTCCCTGTTCAGCAGGGAGTCTTCTTCTGCCTCTGTCCCCCCTCCCCTGCTTGTGCTCTCTGCTCTCTCTCTCTCTCTCTCTCTCAAATAAATCCTTATTTATTTGAGAAGGCAGACGCTCTTCTCATTTGAGAGAGAGAGAGAGAGAGAGAATGAGAGAGGGAGAGCCCAAGAGGGGGTAGGGTCAGAGGGAGCAGCAGACTCCCTGCTGAGCCGGGAGTCCAATGTGGGACTCGATCCCGGGACTCCGGGATCATGACCTGAGCCCAAGGCAGTCGCTTAACCAACTGAGCCACCCAGGCGCCCTCAAATAAATAATTTTTTTATTTTTTTTTATTTTTTTTATTTTTTTTTTTAAAGATTTTATTTATTTATTCATGAGCGACAGAGAGAGAGAGAGAGAGAGAGAGGCAGAGGGAGAAGCAGGCTCCCAAGGAGCAGGGAGCCCGATGCGGGACTCGATCCCAGGACCCTGGGATCATGACCTGAGCTGAAGGCAGACGCTTAACCATCTGAGCCACCCAGGCGCCCTAAATAATTTTTTTAAATAATTTATTTTTATTTTTTTATTTTTTTAAGGATTTTATTTATTTATTTGACAGAGAAAGACACAGCGAGAGAGGGAACACAAGCAGGGGGAGTGGGAGAGGGAGAAGCAAGCTTCCCGCTGAGCAGGGAGCCCGATGCGGGGCTCGATCCCAGGACCCCGGGATCATGACCTGAGCCGAAGGCAGAGGCTTAACGACTGAGCCACCCAGTCACCCCAATAATTTTTTTAAGTGACCTCTAGAATGTCAGAAGGGCTTGACAGACAATGTTAGCGTTCTATTTGAGAGAAAGAGAGAGAGAGAGAGAGCACATGAGAGAGGGGAGGGTCAGAGGGAGAAGCAGACTCCCTGCCAAGCAGGGAGCCCGATGCGGGACTCGATCCCGGGACTCCAGGATCATGACCTGAGCCGAAGGCAGTCGCTTAACCAACTGAGCCACCCAGGCGCCCCCAATGTTAGCGTTCTAGTAGGACATTGAAAAGGCATGGAGAAATCTTCTTGCCTCATGGGATTTGCTGATGTTCTCATTTTCTTTCTTTTTTTTTAAGATTTTATTTACTTATTTTTAAAGATTTCATTTATTTATTCATGAGAGACAGAGAGGCAGAGGGAGAAGCGGGCTCCCTGCAAGACTCGATCCCAGGACCCTGGGATCATGACCTGAGCTGAAGGCAGATGCTTAACCAACTGAGCCACTTAGGCGCCCAAGATTTTATTTATTTATTTGAGTCAGAGAGTGAGTGAGAGAGAGAGAGAGAGAGAGCACGCGCACAAGCCCGGGTCGGGGAGAGGCAGAGGGAGGAGCAGGCTGGAGCCCAATGTGGGACTCAATCCCAGGACCCTGAGATCATGACTTGAGCCCAAGGCAGACACTTAACTGACTGAGCCACCCAGGTGCCCCTCTCATTTTCTTCATTACCTAAAAGCAGATGGCCCTCTAGAATTCTGGAATGGCCTGCTGAAGCTTCAGAGATGGCACCAGCTGGAGACCACAGCTTGAAAGGTTGGGGTCCTGTCCTCCATGTGGTCTAAGGTCTCAACCAGTGTTGTTTCATCCATAACTAGAATACACGGATTCAGAAATCAAGGCACAGAAGAGGAAAGACGATTTGTGGTATTTTCTTTTCCATTCTTATAGCCCTGCTCTACTAGCCTCGTGTTAAGGAAAACTTTTGGACAATGTAGTTAAAAGCAATGTGCCAACATTTTGTTTTATTTATTTTTTTAAAAAGATTTGTTTATTTATTTATTCAACAGTTAGAGAGAGAGCACAAGTAGGCAGAGTGGCAGGCAGAGGGAGAAGGAAAAGCAGGCTCTCCACAGAGCAGGGAGCCCGACGTGGGGCTCGATCCCAGAACCCCAGGATCATGACCCAAGCGGAAGGCAGCCGCTCAACCGACTGAGCCACCCAGGTGCCCCTGTGCCAACCTTTTATTACAATCATAAATGCAAGGGGGAAAAAAGGTCTCTTGTGGGTGAATTAGAAATTTATTCCTGGTAAGGACACTTTATGGGAGAAGAGAATGGTTAAATACCCATCATGAGATTAGAGACGAGATCCAGAAGAAAAGAAAGAAAAGATTGAAGATTATGAGTCTTGACCGGCAGGCAGTCAGCTGTCAAGTGGGTGGACCACTACTTTCTCAGAACAAATTTCATACCCTCAAAATTCATTCACAAAAGGCTTCAATATTTTTATCGGGAAAGCGAATTACCTCACTGAAGGAGGCTGTAAATTACTCTTACAAAAAGCTTAAGTCCCAGACCAGGTTTGGGGACATTTTTTTTTCTTTTTGGTAGGGTTAATATATCAGGAAGTGATTTGGTGCCTTCACCTCCAGATTTAGCTTTCATACCGGTTGAGATTTTTTATTTTTTCCCTGTTCCTGGAACCTAAATGGTCCTTGACTTGGCCAGGTCTGAAATAAGTTATTTCCTCCCCCTGGAACTTTCTCTTCTCCTTCCCATCTCAACTTGAACAACCCTGCCCTGGGCGCCCCTTCCCCTCCAAATTAAGAGAGGCTCCCTTTTAATTACCTTGTTGTTGGTTTTTTTTTTTTTTCCCCTCCCCGGGGCATTATCGGTATTTAAGCTCCAGGAAGGTAGAAACTGTTCCCAGGGTCCATCACAGAGCTTGGCACTGTACAAGGAAGTCATAAAGCACGGAACTAAGATCCTTGGATGCAAATAGGGCTGAACGAATTTTTGCAGGAGCCAGGGGAATGCCGGCACTGATGAAAATCCTTGAGGTTCTCTTTATGGCTAATACCAATGATTTTTGAGACAATTATTTAAACACCAGAATTCAGTCTGCATCCACTGAATGGGAGTAGTAATTCCTCTAAGTACAGCTGTCAGGGTCAAAGGGCTTTACGTTTGCACAGTGTTTGAACCCGGTCAATAGGTCCCTCGTGCAGCATTTATCTAGAGGCTTCCCGTACCACGCTCCAAGTTGTGAAACTTCCTGGAGGTAGTACCAAGGACCGCCCCTTTCGCACCGCCCTTGAGTGACACCACCCACCGAGGTCTCTAATGACGTCAGCTCCGGACCGGCTCTGCTCCATCCTCCCCTACTCCGGAAACCTACAACTCACGGCACCCGGCCTCCAGCTTTCGGTTATTTTTTTTTCTCTTCGTAGCCCGAATCCTTTTCCTCCCATTCTCCCACCTAAAACTTTCGGCTCTTCCCACCTTCCCTCAAGCTGGCAATTTTCGGTTCTTCCCGCTTGCTCTTGGGCGAATTTCCCACTCTTTTACTCTGTCGATCGCATTCCAAGCTCCGCCCTTAGGCCTTTTCCGTCTAAATCCCTCTTTCGGCTAGTTCCGCCTCCTGCCACCCACCTCGGACGCCGCCTTCGGCTCCTTCCGGATCGTCTCGGTTCCTTGTTTTTCTCCCCACACCACCCCCCCAACCAACCACCCGGTCCTGGTCCGCTTCGGCTATCTCCGGCTCCCGTGGCTTTCCATCCATCCTTTAGCCACACCCCCATCGCATCCTTCGGCTCTTTCCGCCTCCCCGCGTCTCCCGCTCAGCGGCTTTCGGCTTTTTCCGCCTTGCCTCGGCCACACTCTCTCCCTTCGGCTCTTTCCGCCGCCCTTCGGGAGAGGGCCTCTGCCCCTCTCCTCCACGTGACACGGCCTCCGCCTCCCCGTTCCCCCTCCCACCTCGCCCTTCCTCCCGCCTCAGCCTCTCGGCTCCTCTGGGCCGAGCCGCCATTTTGTGTGAATTTCTGACTGCGGCGGGGGCCGAGCAGCCGGGGCGCCTAGGGCGGGCAGACAGACAGACAGACAGACAGTCGGCCCGTCTCCGCGGCCCGTTTCCTCTCTCCCTAAAATCTTTTTTTTTTTTTTTAACCCCCCTCGCTCGCTCTCCTCTTCTCCCCTCCCCCCTCGCTTGCTCCATCGCGCGCGACCCGCGCTAATTACACCCAACCACCCACCAGTGTCCGTGTCCCCCGGGTCCCCCACCTCCGGGCCCGCGGGGGAGGTGTGTGTGGGGGCTCTCGCCCCGATGAGGGCCCCGCGCCCGTGAGCGAGTGACCCCAGGGGCGGGCTGCGGAGAGAGGCGGCGAGCGGCTCGCCGAGGCCTAGGCCGCGCGACCTACGCGGAGGTCGGCGCAGAGGTGATTCCGAAACCGAAAAAATATATACCCATTCCTATGAGGAGCCCTCAGAGCTGAAGTGTGCCCCTCCCGCCACGCCCAAGCAGTCCTTTTTCGTGCATTAACATCCCCTCCCCCCAAAAGGAACTATGGAGGCCGCGCCCGGGACCCCCCCGCCGCCACCATCAGAGTCGCCGCAGCCGCCATCGCCGCCGCCGCCATCAACGCCTTCGCCTCCTCCGTGTTCCCCCGACGCCTGCCCGGCCACCCCGCACCTCCTCCACCACCGCCTCCCGCTCCCTGACGACAGGTCAGGCCCCCGGCCCGGCCGGGGCAGCGTCCCCGGGGGGAGGAAGAGGAGGAGGAGGAAGGGGGGCGGCCGCCATGTTGGGCCGGGCCGCGGAGGAGGAGGAGGAGGAGGAGGAGGAAGGGCGGGGTCGGTGGGTGTCTCTCGCTCGCTCGCTCTTTCTCGCTTGCTTTCTCTCCTGGCCTCATGCGTTTCCCCCCCTCGCGGCGCTCGCCCGCTCTCCCTCGCTCTCGCTCTGTCTTTTTTGGGCGCCATGCTGAGGGGAAGGTGAGGAGGCGCCCCCCGGACCCCCGCGCCCGCCCGCCCGCCCTGGGGAGGGGGCGCTGGGGGGGGGGAGCTGCGGAGGCCCACGGGGGTCCTGGCTGCCCCAGCGCCCGGAGCTGGCAGCCATGGGCCCGCCTGCCCGTCGCCTGGCTTCGGGGAAGGGGATGGGGGAGGGGCTCCCGGACCCTTTGGTGGGGGGGGATCTCGAGCAGTAGCCCCGCTCTTAGGGGTTTGGAGTTGGGGGTCTCCCAGCCCTTGGCAGTATCCTTTCTCCTGGGGGAGGTGTCCCCTGCCCAATTGGAGAGTACCCTAGTTTTCTTAGGCAGAAAGTGGGGGTTCGTTTAGTTCTTTCTCCATCCTTTTAGTGGGGGGTCCTTTGGGTGGGGGCACTCGCACTTTTTTTTTGGCGGGAGGTGTTTCCTCGCTATACCCTAGAGGGCGAAATTGTTGGGGGGCAGATCTCTAGCCCCTTTGATGGAAGCCCCTGCCTCCTTTGGGGAGAAGCCCCTTCCCCGTGTTTTTTCTTAAAGGCAGGGGTTCTTTCGTTTTTCGTAGGTAGGTGATGCGTTTTTGGCGGGGTTGGGGGGGGCTGAGGTTTGGTTTCCCTGCCCTTGTAGGGGAGAGGAAGTTGGTCTCTTCTTTCTCATGGGGTTCCCCCCTCTTTCGGGCTAAAATGGGGCGCCATCCCTTCCGGGAGAGAAAACGTGGTTTTTTTTTGTGCTTTGGCAGGGGGTGAAAGGGAGCGCCCCCCTTACCCTTTATTAAGTGCGAAATGGGTTCGCCCCACGCCCTTCTCTGGAGGATGATAAAGGCGCCAGCCCGGCGCGTTTCAGGGCGAGGTTGGGGCCCCTGTTTTCCCTTGCTCCAGAGGGTTGGGTGCAGGGTTTGCCCTCCCTTTCTTGGTGGGGCAGGGGAAGAGGTGTCTAGAGAGTGGATTTGGAAATGGAAGGAGGTTTTCCACCGGCAGGAAAGGCAGGCAGAGGAGGAGTGGGGGTGGGGAGGGGAAGAGATCGCGCTGGACAGATGGCTGCCCCACAGCAGCCCGGGCTGGGGAGTCGCTTGAGGACCCTCCCCTAGATAGGGGTCTCAGCTAGGGCTTCCTTGCCAGGCACGACGGCCCCTTCTCCCCACTTCCACCTCCCCTTTTCCCTTTCTCCTTCACAGACCATACTTTGCCTTTTAAAAGAAATGCCACCCACATTCAGAGACACAAGTGCAGCAGTTTGGTGAGCTTTTACAAAAAATTTTTTTTGTTTTCTGTTTTGTTCTAATTAAATGTATCGTCCTGGGAATCGCAGCCCATCGCAGCCTGCCTCCAGTTTAAGGAAATAAACAGATTAGCAAAGGTCTGTGCGCTAAGCCCACGTTGGGCTTCCGGGCCCCCTCTTGGGGGCAGGTGCATTACTCAAAGGTGCTTACACGCTTTATTCGACCTCTAAGGAGTTCTCTTATGTCAGAAGTGTATGTCTTACAATGGGTTGGGATGGTAAGTAGCCTCTTTTATTGAGTAATTCAATTATCTCCCTCTTTTTGTCCCTTTCCTGCCTGCCTTCCTCCTGCCTTTAGACCAAAGTGATGCTTGAGTGAATTTATATGTTCGAATCAGGATTCTAAACCCAGTTGAGCCCTTTAAGACTTGCACATCCTTTCGATCTTTAATTTTTTTAATTTGTCGTACACAGTTTTCCTAAAGGAAAAAAAAGCGTTACTGTAACATGACAAAAACTTGTGTAAAAGGCCCATATGTTTTCAAGCCCTTTGGTATCCCTCTCTCCATTTCAGTCCATTGCTTTGTCTCCAGCCTTCATCTTTGAAGAAAGTGGATACTTCAGGTCCATTTGTAGGAGACGAGGTTAACTGAATTTGGTTTATGATACTTGCATTCGAGTTAAGGTTCTCTCTCCCCTCCACCCCCCACCCCCCCAAAAAGATTGTGGTTCAAGTAGATCCAATTCGCTCCTTTTACTCCAATGTCTCTTATGGTGATGGACGTTTAAATTAAGCAAGTCATTTATAAAGTACTGTTTAAGCACCAAATCTGTAAAGCGTGTCAAGCCCCAATCTCCTCTCCCTGTCTCCACTGTTCCTTTGTTCGAAAGCACATGCCTGACCGTGAAAAGTTGATGCAAACACGCCCAGTCATGGTGGAGAGAACACTTCCTCCAGCCCCCTGCCCCCCCCACACATACAAGATAAAAACAACAGAAATGACTTGCAGAACCAAACACTGTACTTCTGATGTGTTTTACAAGCATAAGTTCTTCCGTTAAAAGACAAAACACGTTGAAGTTCCATTTAACGTCTTGCCCACTTTTGGTCCCTGGTGTACTTTGGTAGCGAAAACTTTTTATAACACACAGCCCAATTTTCCCCTCCGAAAGATCCTGTTTCCTTTTTTTCCATTCTTAGGAGAAAAAAAAAAGTTCACTTACGTTGGGATGAGGAACCGTAAACTGCAATTCAGTGGGCCACTGGTTTTATTCTTTCTCTCCATATACTCACAACCTAACTGCTGTGAAGTGGTGATCTTAGGTATGTAAAATCAGTTGTGGGAGGAAGAAGCATCCACACAGTACAGTATCCTGCAAAAAAAAATGTCTAAAGCACAAACTGAACACACCATCCAGTGCACAGGGTCAGCCGAAAAGGAATTGCATTTATTTGAAGTTTTCCCTCCTTGGTGAAATTCCTCCTCCAGGAGCCAAGTGCAGAAACTGGATGCTAACAGATGAACCTTCCAAGTTTCGAGGGCGACTAAGTTGTCAAAGGATGCTTGTTTAACTTTACTTGAAAATGAAGTGTGGAGGAAATGGGATTTCTTTTGTAAGTGAAAATTTTAGCAGTCATCATTGAACTTAAAAGTATTTCCCCAAACATTTAAAAAGTACTCAGGCATATCAACACAAGAGTTTATTGTTTTTTCGTTCTCAAAGGACTCCCATGAAAACCAAGAAGCCCCAGTAATTATGTCAAACTGTACTCCGATGGTCTTTGTTTTTGAAATGTCACAGTACTGCCTTTTCCCCCCCCAAACTGATGTACCAGTACTAGTTAAAATTCAAATTAATGGATGTTGCAAAAAAAAAAAGGGTGTCACTCAGAATCCCTGATTTAACAGCACCTCTTAGACACTTGAAATCTTTAAAATTGTTATATTCTCTGTTGGAGAGATTTAATTGGAAAGCAAATTAAAATATTCCCAATAGAAATACAACCAGTTGTGACCATGAAAATACGGATATTCTGGTCCTAAAAACCCTTTATTTTTTACTCTCCTCAAATTCGTTCTTCAAAAGAAAACTAGGATTCCCCCAGTGGGGCTTTCAATCAGACTGTCCTGTCTCCCAGATAGGATTTTGATTTGCTCGGAAGGTTAAGTTTTTGATTCCTGACAAGCCAAGATTTTTAAGTACAGCCAGCTCTTCTAGAAGGACACTCCTGTGGCTTCTGCTTACCCTGGAAGGCTGATCCCAAGGGGGAACTGTTTTGTACCTGTGGAAATGAAGGTTTTCCCAGCTGTTGGCCTACCTGGCACATTAGAGCTGAATGGTTGACTCTGAGTTTGTTTCCATCCAGTTGAATGTAGACAGTTTCATATTGAGCTGGTTTAGTAATTTATCCTTAAATAATGCCTCCACCTCCTCTGCTCCTTTTTCTTAGATCTTTTCCCTGCCCTGGTAGGGGAGGAATGGATGTCTCAGGGTGGCCTTATTTGCTTTTCCCCTCTGCTAGGTTTTTGTGGCTATTAAGTCCCTAGAATCATCTCCTATAAGGCAGATCCAGTTACGGCAAATACCTGTATGGTGAAAATTGCTAATTATTTCCAGGCCTTTGTGGATAGCTCTAGGTCAAACCATATTCCAGAGAACCTGGCGTTTTGGTCCCTGTGGATGAAAATGTCTAGTACCAGAGCGACGGGTTGACCCAGGGTAGGAAGTTGAGTGACAGAGTAATTCAGAGCAAACAGTAAGTGAATGGTTGAGTTTCTAAGTGAGCAAGGTACTTACCCATACCTTGGCAACAAAGCTCCTGCCACAATAGGAGACGAAAGCCTGGTTTCTGGCGTTCCTGGTAGTTGGCATTTAATAAGTTGATTGATTGAAGCATCCGGAGGAACAGTCTGCTCATGGGTGGTGGGAGTCTTGTCAGAATCAATGACTTGAGGCCGGTTTCATAATTAAAACCTACTGGAAAGAGTGGAAGAGCTGCCTGTTTGGGTGGGCCTTTATCTAAAGGTCATTTGGTTAAGTCCAAGGTAAAAATGGGACTGTTTGGGGGGAACCAGATTTTCCTAGATTTGGCTTTCCAAATTTATCAGCCTCGTCTTTGCTTCACAACGATTTTACTCTGATGGTTACTAAAGATGGCAGCCCTGGAAACAGTGCACAGGGTTTCTTAATAATGATAGGGGATTACGTGGGCAGTTTTTACATTTCTTCCTTGATCAGTTGATGACAAAACCAAGACATGGGCCCTCGGATGGTATAGACTTAGTTGCGTCCTGCTATTGGAATAATTTTTTATTCCAATACAGGATATTTGCTGGGAGCATAGTTTGCTTCTCTTGGCCAAATTGCTCAGGATAGAGCATCTTTCTTGTTGTTTTTTTGGTGATTGTATCTGTGAATTGGTGACTCAGCTCCCTATTTCTTAAGGCAAGTGGTGACATCTTCTGAATGTCGGAGGTGACAACAGGATAGGAAGGAACACGGTGGCCTTTGGAGACAGATAAGGTTGTGTTCAGGCCTGGCTCTCCCTGCAGTGGGCACTGAGGGTAATGCCTGTTTCTCAGGGTCATTGCGGTCAAGTGGGCATACACAGGATGCCCACACAATGCTTGGCATTTGCAAATCTTGGTTTCTTTATCTTCTTGCTGTCCCTACTAGTGAAAAAAATAAATAAAACTTATAGTCTGGTATGTAAACAGAAACAAACATAACATCTGTGTTTTTGAGGGAAGTCAATTTATCTTCCACCTCTTAGGTTTCCGGTCAGTTTATTTAATTGCACGGAACAGATCGGGGTGGAAACTCCGTGGAAGACATCTTAAGGCCTGTTTTGCTTGCTGAACGGACAGGTGCTGGAAGAGTCATGGCATCTTGAGGTTAGGCTCACGACCTTCCCGTGTTCATCTTTGGCAATTAGAATCCAAGTCTTGCTACGACCATGGTGGGCCTCCTGAGAGCTGAGAAAGCAGGGCTGTAGCACCTAACCCACTGCTGACGGGTCACATCCCCTTTTAAACAAGGCCTTTACCTGTGCTCTGCAGAGTCTCGAGAAATGAGCAGGGCCTATCCCAGCCCCACGATTCCCCTGCCCCTTGGTAATTTGGCGGAGTCAGTTAAGATCTTGTTCATTCAGCAGGCAGGCTTGTCCCGTGCTTTTCTTGGAGCAGAGAAGTTTTCAGAGTGTGCAGGGAGCTCTTCTCTCCTGAGGACTTTATTTAGATTTGGGCAAAGGTTGTTACTGCCTGTAGCAGGCCTCAGATTTCCTTCCCTTGTTTGACACCTGCAGCTTCTGGCCACGGTCAGGGGTTTGCTGCCCCTCTGGCAGCTCTGGATACCCACCTGCAAAGTAGGTGTCTTAAGAATGAACTGCAGGGTGAGGCTGAGTGGCTGGATCACAGGTAACCGGTAGTTCCACCAGTTTGCTGAGCACCTGGTTCCCTCGTCCCTGTCGTCCCTGTCGGGGGGGGGGGGTCCCAGAAACCATTAACTCCAGAAGCATAAAGCCTAGTAAGGTATGGATTCTATTTGTTCCCTCTAAGCCAGGGTTGGCCCTCTTCTGGGAGAGAGATGTTGGGGAGTGGTGGACAGCGTGGACATGGGAGTTAGGCCGGCCGTATGGGACTAGTGAGTCATTGACTGCTAGTCTTCCCAAAGGTGTGACAGGGTCTCTTGTGCAGTCCTATGAAGGGCAGAGATTACCTGCCAGGGACCTTCGGAGTGCTTTGTGTGTGATAGCTCACCCCAGCCCTACCCTGAGAATTTGAAACAGAAATGAAGTCACTTTTTTTTGACAGAGAGAGACACAATGAGAGAAGGAACACAAGCCGGGGGGAGTGGGAGAGGGAGAAGCAGGCTTCCCGCGGAGCAGGGAGCCCAACGTGGGGCTTGATGACGCGGGGCTTGATCCCAGGACTCTGGGATCATAACCCGAACTGAAGGCAGATGCCCAACAACTAAGCCACCCAGGCACCCCAGAAATGAAGTCACTTGTCCAAAGTCGCAAAGCTAAGGGGTGTGGAGACAGAGTTAGAGCCTGGGCAGCCTGTACCCAGACCCAAGCTCTCTACCCAAATGCCATCCTGGGGCTGACACTGCGGTGTGCAGCTGTTAGTAGGATACGAAGTCCCATTTATTGATTTGTTGCTTGCATTTGAAACACAAAGACCTGAGAGAGGATAGAAAAAAGCAGAGTACGGTGGAGTTAAAGCCGCTCCGGAAAACTTGTTTGAGAGAAATGTAGGGGAGATGTGGGTCAAATCAAAGTTTAAAAGCTGCTGCTGGTAGGACAGAGGTGGGCAGTGTGTGGCGCTCTGATCAAAGCCCGCCCACCTGGCTTTTTATTTTTTTAATTCTAAGTGAAGTTTCATTGGAACATAGCCACGCCCATTAATTTATATGGTCTGTGGCTCATTTTGTGCTGAACAGCAGAGTTGAGTAGTTGGGACAGAGACTCTGTGACCCTCAAAGCCTACAGTATTTACTCTTCGGCCCTGTAAAGAAGGTTGCTGGCCCCCCGCACTGCTCTGATGTGCCTACTACCTGCACAGCAGCTGCCATGATTTTTGTTGTGGTGGCAGGTGTGGTGGGTGGGAAGACATGGGAGGGAGTACAGGTATTCCCTTTAAAGTTGGTCCCGACTGGCTGGCCCGGTTAGTAGAGCATGCATCTCTTGATCTTGGGGTGGTGAGTTTGAGCCCCACCTTGGGTGTAGAGATTAAGAAAAAAAAAGTAGGCCTCTGAGAGAGTGGGGTGTGCTGTCCCTCTGTGACCTGGTGCGGCTCCATCAGCCCTGTGTTCCACTCCTACCAGTGCACGTAGAGGCCGAAGCCTGGGCTTTCGAACCTTTAAACCAAAGGGATTTTCATTTATTAGAAGTAACTGGAGACTTCTTGAAGCCAGTGTGGAAGCAGATCCCAGCTAACACATCCCTGTCAGGGCCAGACGTGAGTGACACTTGGCTCAATGTCATTTGCAGGTGGCTTGGGTTATTGCCCTCCTCATTTTCCTAACAGACATCAGGGCTTAGGTTTCCTTGGGATTCCAGGCCCTGCCATTGCGGGGCACACCAGAGCAGTCCCAGAAACCGTAGCTTCTTGGCAGCGTGGGTCGGGCTGCTTTCCTTTGGGGGGTGCCAGCTGCTGGCCACTTTCACCTCCGTTGATGTGTCAATTGCATATGGGCTTTTGTCCCCCTCTGGCCTCTCGGGGCCCTCGGTAAACACTCAGTGAATGAGTTTTCGATTAAAGACAAGCCCTCAATCACCTCCTTGGAGTTCGAAGTAATCCAGGTTACTGCCTGGGAAGTCGTCCAGTGTCTGTGTTGATGCAGCTGACAAAGAGGGTGTGCAGAGCTGAGGTCGATGCTGGGTTTGTGTGGAATATATTACAAGTGCCCAGCCAGTTTGAGTCTGGCCCTGTGCTGGGCCCTTGGAAAGTCAGGTGACTCCCAGCCTCTGATGTGCCCTCCAAGGAGCCCACAGTTGACTGGAAGTTAACAAAGAGTTGCATACAGATAATTGCAGTTCTCCTTAAATTCTTTAGTGGTGTATGAACAAGGAATCTTCGTCGTCCCAGGCCTGGTTTCTTTTAAGTTGAAAATATGAATACTTTGTCTTAGTTGAGCGTATGCTAAGTGGAACCAAACTGATTTCTTCAGAAAAAGTTCCGGACAAGGAAGAGTCTTGGTTCCCAAGTTCAGTGATTCGATTTTCCTTTCTGGAATAAGAGAAATCAGCCCTCCTTGGATGAGAACCAGCATCTTTCCAGCTGTAAGCAGTCTGAGGCATGGTTGGCGTGAGAAGGTGGTTAGGAAACTCTTTGCCGAGAAACCAGTTTCAGGGATTCATCTGACAGGAGGAACTTGGATCAGAGAGATATCTTTAGCAAAAACAGGAGCCATGTTCAGAGTGAGTGGGAGTGGAAGAATAGCTACTCAGGCAAAGGAGACGACCCTTGACTCAGTGAGACTCCTCTAGCAGGCCAGGTTTTTCCTCGATCAATTTGTTTGACGCTCTACAGAAATGCTCTAAGAGGTTTGTGTGCTTGGACCAACCCCAGTGTGGATGCTGCACCCTTCAGGAAGAAACATCCCTTCTGGTGTTGGACAACTTGGGAATTTCCTTCCCTGGGATTCCTCTTGCTTTCTGTCTGTCAGGGGAGAAGACCCTTTACTTGGGTTTTGGCTAGGATTCCTTGGAACTTTTCTGTGCACCTCTTATTCCCTGAACTATCCAAAGTCTTTGGTCAGAGTTTCAAATGTCCCAGTTCCCTTTATTCGATGTTGGAAGGACTGTAATTGCCTCGTGTCTTTGCATAACGGTAGTTTTCCTCCTAAGGACTTACCCTGGGCCAGTGTAGTGCTAAGTGCTTGATTTACACGGTCTCAGGAAGTTCTTCCCCTGAGAATTCATCTGTCCCAGAGGTTCTGTTGCTGCCTTCACTTTGCAGTTGAAACCCCGGGGCACAAGAGTGTTAAGGACCTCGCCCAGTGTCTTATTATCTCACTTTGCCCTTTCTTGGGATACTGTTTCATTTAATCCGTTTTCTGTGCGTCAGTCTTAATTTTGCCAGCTCAGTTGTGAATTTCAAGGCAAGAGTTTTGTCGGTTGGCCGGTTGAGTAATTCTCTTGCAGATAATTTCTAATTATCTCAAGGCTAGAGGTGAAAAGTTGGGCCTGGAGTCGGAGAGTCCAGGAATTGTTCCAGTTTTGCTTCTTCCTGCCATGACCCCATAGGTAGATTTCTTCTGTTTGAGCCTCTCCATAAAATGGGATGCTGAGGACCCACGACAAATGTAGGTTTGTTACTGAGCATTGGCACAAGACGAGTAGAAGGGAACTCAGTAGTAGTATGGTGCCTGGCGTGGAGGTTGCTAATACAGAATGTTCGTAATGAATACTTCCCGCTGCTTTTGGTGTATAAGGCCCTGAGGTATTCAGGCAGGTTTTGTCATTGTGGAAATGAGGGCAAGAGGTAAGGCCTTGATGAAGGGTGATGGAGCCTCCCCCATACCCCTTTCCCTGACCCCAGACTCCAGCTCTCTGCCTTCCTTGGCAACCTCTCCTCACCTTGCTGAGGCTGTCCCCACTCAGGCCATCCTTTTTTCTTTTTTTTAACCTTTTCTGGACATTTTCTAGCATTTTCATGAGAGGAGACTAAGGCCATCATCTGCCCGTTTTCAACAATTATGTATCTTTTGCCAATTCTGGTTCATCTCACTACATCCCCCATCTGCCTTACGAATTTTAAAGCAGATTTCACATCATTTCACCTGCAAGCTCTTCGGCACATATTTCTAGTTTAAAGAGCTTTTTTTAAATAGAACCACAAAGCCGTGATCCTCTCTAACAAGATTAACAGTAATTACTTAATATCTGAAATACCCAGACCTGGTTCAGATTTCTTCGTCATGGCCCACATTGACTTCTGGCAGTAGGTGTGTTCATATCCGGGTCCCAGCACTGGGCGGCCTCTTCTGCTCACATTGTTAAAGTGAGGGGCTCGGAGTACTGGTGGTTTTGGGACTTCTCTTCTCTCATGCTTGGTTTGTGCTTGGCTGCTCGGGTGGGGTGGTGTCTGTGACGGAGGCAGGTTACCATGGAAGTGGTGTGATGTCACAGTCTCTTGTGACCCCACCTGAGAATGTTGGGGGAAAGGGAGACACAGAGCCCATTTGCTCTTGATTTCTGGTCGATGAACCTAGGTAGTAAGGACACTGAAAAACGTGCAAGACCCAGAGGCTTATTTCAAGAATTTCCTGCCTCTGAAAATCCCTCAGCGAAGTTCCTCCCCAACCCCTGGGGCTGCTCCACCCCAGCATCAATGCAGGGAACGGCTCTGTGCCTTCGCTCCTAGTAAACTGCCCCACACGGTTGGATTTGGGGACTTCTGCATTTAGGCCTGTCGTTAAACATTTGAAGAGGCAGAGCCTCCTTGTAATTTTGTAATTTTGTCCCTACTTAATAGGTCATTCAGAGCCTACCCAGGCAATTTGTTGAGCGCTTGGGCAGTTAATGATCATAACCCTGACCTTCACATTAACCTAGCCACCTCTTGTGAAGGGCTCTCATGATCTTCAGGTAACAGCCACTGCTCCCATGAGTTTCCATCTTTTTTTTGTATGTGCCCTCCCCCTTTTTTTGTAAACCAAGGTTGAGCCACAAACTCGGGTCCCTTCCAGCTTCCATCCAGATCTCTTGTCTAGAGAATTTCCATGTTGGGAAGCTTCATTTTTTTTTTTTTAAGGGGCCTTTGTCCATTCTTCCTGGGGCTCAGCTCACCTTGTGCCTTTCCTTCCTCGTCAGCCACTCGGTTACTTTGTCTTACCACCTAAATTAGAGCTAAGGAAGGGGAGATACTGGTTTGTCGGTTTCGGCAGCAGGATTTGTCAGGAGAGGACTGCGCATGCACGGTCAGGCCAAGTGAAGCAGGAACTAGTTGGCCAGCAGTTAGTAGTGGCCCCCAAGGGGAGTTGGCTGTAGCTTCTCCGTAGAGAAGACGCTTTCCAGTGAGTATCCAGGCCAGTTTAGGGTTATCCATGCAGAGGCACACTCGTGGTAGCTGGTTCTTAAAACCAGTAGCTGCTTTTCGTCTGGTAGTTGGTGCCTTCCTCATGTCAAGGGCTTTATCCATATTATCTCATGTAACCCGAAAAATCCTTGTAGGTACCACAGTTATCCCATTCCACAGACGGGAAAACCAAGGCTAAGTGTACCAAGAGCTAGGGAAGCGGCAGAGCTGGTACTCGGCCTGCAGGAAGAAGCCCCATGCCCAAATCTGTAGGCTGGTGGGTGGAGCCAGCCTACTTTGAATCTTGAGGTTTCTTTACCCAGTAACTTTATTTGCCAAGCCCATGGTGTATGATGACTTCAGCACTATCCTGTGCCCTGTGGCGTGGCCAGTCGGCAGTCCTTAGAATGGGCATCCAGAGCTGGTCTTTGACCCGAGAGGAGGGGCTGGCTGTCACCAGCTCTGTGAATGGGAATTTAAACGCCCTGGAAGCCTAGTCCAGGAGGCACGAGACAGATCTGACCCTCAGCTAGTCATTGCCCTCTGCCCATTCCCTCCTGGGCGCTGGTTCCAAGGCAGTCCCCCAGCTTGGTTGGCTTCCCGTCCCTAATGGCCCTGGCAGGCCGACCCCGGTGCAGCCATCCTGGGACGTTGCCAGTCCGGGCCCTGGGAATAAGGCCGTCCCGGCTCTGGCTGACGCTGCAGGCTTTCTCCTGCGTGCTTGTCTCAAGAGGGCTTGGCAGGTCTAGATTGAAATGATTAGCGCAACGGGGGTTCCCCCACTTTTCTTGAGGGATTATGTCACAGTCTATTAGGCGCGCTCCCTTGGTGTTTAATCCCACTCTGACATGGGTTTTGCTGGCAGTCTGTGAAGTGGCACCACTGAAGCCTGGCTGCTGTTTGTGGAGGCTGCTTTTGTGCCGGGCGTGTCTGTGGTCCCCAGGATTTCCGCCCCCCATTCCAGCGGGTTTGGTCATCTTGTCTTTTTTTCCCTCGTTCACCGCTTAAAGGAAAACAGACCCGTATTCATGCAGGACATTTAGCTGGGAGTTTCCTGCGGTAGCAGAGGGGCACTCCCGTAGGTGACCAGCGATTAGCCTGGGGCTTTGAGAAGTTTGAGAGCACAGCATGGCCAGATGTGCTGAGAATGCACAGTGGTCACCAGAGTGTCCCCGTCTCTGTCCCCTCCAGTCTCCCATTTCCCTTCGTAATTCACCAGCAGTTGGTTTATACTGTTGATTTTTCAGTTTCTCCCAGGTCCATCTCAGGAACAAAAGTTCTTTTTTTTTTTTTTTTTTTTAAAGATCTTATTTATATATTTGAGAGAGAGAGACACAGCGAGAGAGGGAACACTAACAAGGGGGAGTGGGAGAGGGAGAAGCAGGCTTCCCGAAGAGCAGGGAACCCGATGCAGGGCTCGATTCCAGGACCCTGAGATCATGACCTGAGCCAAAGGCAGACGCTTAACCAACTGAGCCATCCAGGCGCCCCAGGAAACAAAGTTCTAAGTATTCGCTCGCCGTTTTGTAAAAAGTTGCATGGTAGATTCTCGCTGAGCCCAGATATCCTGGAGGCGTTAGTATAGATAATGCAGAGATTCTCTCTTTGGCCGAAAGTCTTTGTAGGGTGGATGTGAATGAAAAGGCCTTCTTCTGGAATCATTCTAGGGGATGGTCAGGGCCTTGGAGTTGCTTGGATGGTCTTTGTGCCCCGCCCCCAGGTGTTAGCTGCAGAACGAATGGCCTGCTCGTTCAAGCAAGCAGGCGTGTGGCAGCAGGACAGGGGCAGTGGCCTCGGCTGACCTTGGGCAGGACCTTTCTCTGCCCTGTCTTGGTGTCTTCGCCCTGGAGTGAGCGGAGGTGAGGGAGTGTCTGGAGTGTCTGGACTGTCTGCTCCTGACAAGTCAAGTCCCTTCACCTACTCTCCCTTTGAACTCCTCCCGTCTGAAACAAGACAGTTGAAGGGGTCTTGCCATTTGAGCCTTATTTTCTTGAATCAAGGCTTCTAGGAGCCCGGGCAGTTCTTGTCTTCCTGTGTTCCCTCTACCCCTGCCTGCTCTGGGATTTGGGTGATTTTCACCATGTCCCTCTACCCTTTTTCCTTTCCAGACTGTTGCCAAGAGTGATGCTCTTTTTAGCTTCTCTTCATGGAAGGCCAGACTGTCTTTCCGGTTTGTCTCTGGGCCTTCCTCTGTCTGTCTGTATGGTCTGGCCACCACTCCCTGTGTTTTCTCCTGAGGTGTGGTGACCTGGCCTGCCCACAGTGTTCCCAGCAGGGACACGCATCATGTTTGCTCCAGAACAGCTCCCCCCCCCCCAACTCCAGGCAGCAGAGGGTGTGCCATGCTGCCCTGTAACAGCCACTCCCTCTGGCTGGCCAGCTCACCAAAGCCAGTCTCCCCAGTTGGGTGGTACTTTTACTGCAGGCAAGGCCACTCCAGCCCACACCCTGTTCTGTGGGCCGCACCCAAGCTGGTGCCGGAAGGTGCCTCACTTGTCAGGAATGCTGGCTCCTCCCAGCTTTGCTCTGCATCTTCCCGTGGGGCTGACCACTGCCCCCCCACAACCTGGTGGTTTGCAAGGAAGCCACACGAGGTGCCCATCGGTCACCTCCCTGTCTTGTTTCCTTTGAAACATCAGAACAAATTTTGTGTCCTGAATTGTGTGTGTGAGAGCTGCCCTTGACTTCTGCTGGGGTATCCGTGGCCTTGGTTCCACTTGGGTTTTAAGCCAACCTGACCTCATTGAACTGGGAGTGGGAGTTAAGAGAGCAGCACCGCCCAGGTAGACGAAGGTGGGGTGCGAGTGACAGGGCGTGAAGGACTCCGGGAGAGTCACCAATGTGTTGTTTCTCCACGCAGCTCGGTAGACCTGCAGGGGCTCTGGGACCTGCTCGCCTGGTGGGCCTGTTCTCATGCTGACCCCGGTCTTGTCTGAGCAGCGAGCTCTTTTCTCCACAGATTCGTTCCCTTTGTGGGTAGCCTTTTGGGTCCCGGATTCATTACGCCACGGGTTCTGTTCTCTTCATCCTTGTTTGGGGTCCTAATTAATGGAGAAGGAAGGAACTTTTTATATTCTCACACATTCTTTTCCAGGGTCATGCAGGAGGAACTTTGGGAGCTTTTTAAAGATTTGAAAACTTAATTTATTTTTTTAAACCAACTCCTGTACTTGTGAGAACTGTGTCTGTGGGTTTGGCTAAAAACTGGAATCTGTTTCTAGTTGCTTTCCTTCTTAACCCTATTTATCCGCTCACCTCCACCCCACCCTGTAGATATTTAGATATTTAGAATGTCCTGTTGGCAGTGTCTAGAGAGTGCTGTTGTTTTTTAGTACTAGGGATGGGGGTGACATGGGCGAGGTAACAAAGTCAGGAAACCTGTAAGATGGGGAGCCAGAAGGGACCCTTGGGGTCAGAGCAGTGGGGTAGGGGGGACCCCTTCTGTGGGCACTCACAGCTGTTAGGAGAGGACCTCAGGAGGGGTCTGGGGCCTGGGACCCTTTCCTTGCCCCTTCCCCTTCTCCAGCTGCTCGGTTGCCCCCCAACTCCCCAGCCCAGAGCTGTGCAGCCAAGGGTGTGGGTCAGACCTCAAAACCAGAGCTTATCACTAGCACTTCTTTATGGGACTTTGGTAAAAGACAGCATCCTCAGGTGCGGTCCAGTCCTGACTGTGGGTTGGAGTCTGGGGGTCACCCCTGGTTCAGAGCCACAGCCCTGTCTCCACTGTCCACAACCACCACCCTCAGCTCACAGGACTCCTCCATAGGGCTTGGGGCCGTGCCAGTGACCTCAGGCCACTGTGCTTCACTGCAGTCAGGGACGGACCATGTTCCCCGAGACAAGCAGCCTCTGTGGCCAAGTAAGCTGTGGAAATGCTCTAACACGGGGTTGTACAGGTTTCTTGATGGTAAGACTTCTGGAACTTCTGTTAGAGCATTAAGCACCGTGAAGCCCCAGGATGGGACTTTCCTCACCTCATTTGACCACAGAACCTTGTCACTCTTCTTCTTAGAACCCTCGTCCTTTGGAGCACTTTGCTATGTCGTGGCTAAGAGTCGTCCCGCTCTCAGTGGCAGTACCTTTAAAATCCAGTGGTGTCAGGCCCCCACCCGCTGCCCCCAGCCGGGTTACATGAAAGCAAGTGCAGTCCTTTTGGGGGGAGGATGCGGGGTGGGACGAGAGGCAGCGGCCCCCACGTTGTCCCGAGGAAGGCCTCCCTCACGGCGGTGGCGCTCCCTGGTCCTGTCGGCCGTGGCCAGCCCAGAGCCCGCGGACGTCCCCTCTCACGCCCTGGGTTCATCCTGGCTCTGGGGTTGGTTTATAGGGAAGATGGTGAGTTGGAAGAAGGTGAACTGGAAGACGATGGGGCCGAGGAGACCCAGGACGCCTCTGGAGGGCCCGAGAGGAGCCGGAAGGAAAAGGGGGAGAAGCACCACAGCGACTCGGAGGAGGAGAAGTCTCACAGGAGACTGAAGCGGAAGCGGAAGAAAGAGCGGGAAAAGGAGAAGAGGCGGTCGAAGAAGAGGAGGAAGTCCAAGCACAAGGTAGGTCACTGGGCCAGCCGGGCTTGTCTCGTAGGCCAGAGGGCACTCTTAGTACTGCTGTCTCTTTCTGCCCCAGATTGGATAAAGAGCTTTTTTTTCTCCTTAAAGACTCAGTAGCTCACGCTCTACTGCCACCAGATGCCCCTAGGTGAGGTGTTTCTCATAGCGCTCAGAGCCCTTCCGGCACGTTCCGGCAGTGTCCGTCCCCGGGCTGAGTCAGCCGGCCGGCCAGCCCGCAGCAGTCACTGAGTGCCCCCCCTGTCACTGCAGCGCCATGCGTCTTCCAGCGATGACTTCTCCGACTTCTCCGAGGACTCGGATTTCAGTCCCAGTGAGAAGGGGCACCGCAAGTACCGGGAGTACAGCCCCCCGTACGCGCCGGTGAGTGCTGCTGCTTGGGGGCCCCTTCCGCGGGGCTGGGGGCTGGGCCTGGCTTTGCTGGGTGCTGAGCGCTGTTGCACAGCACTTGACGTGGGTTTTAAGCCTGCAAGATGAGATGCTGTTTTCATCCCCGTTGTACAGGTGAGGAGACAGATCTGGGGAAAGCAGCCAGGTCGCAGCCCTGTAGTGCAGGAGCGGGGCGTTCGGGCCCAGTCAGTGGCCCATCTCCATTGGCCGCGCTCTTAAGAGTCTATTTCCCGTGGCCTGGGCAGGACTCAGTGTGTCCCCGCCCCCAAGAGAGCTGCTGATTAACCCTGTTACAGCTGACTGCCGCTGTTCAGAAATGACCTTCCGTGGAAAATTGGCTAGAGAACGAAATGGTTTTACAGGAGTGAGTTACCTCAAATGCTGTGGGTTCAGAAGTCAAATGTTTATCCTACCATAACACCGAGCTTAGACATGCATTTATATTTGTTTGGTGTGTATGCTCTTCTCCCCCCAACCCCCGGCAAAACCTGTAAGAAGAAAAATCAAGGTAGATTTTCAAGTTTTGATGAAAAATGCTTAAAAGCTCTAAAAAGTATCCTAAGTATCCCGTGACTCCGTATCATCCGTCCTAACGGTTAAATTATTGTTTGATATTACAGTTGATGTTGATGTGCTAACAGGGGTTCGGACTTAAACCTGACCCTGACAAGGAATGCAGGGTACGCCACGGCTTTGATTGATAACTAGGGGTTGAGGCTTTTTTTTTTTTTTAAGATTTTATTTATTTGACAGCGAGAGCAGGAACACAAGCAGGGAGAGTGGGAGAGGGAGAAGCAGGCCTCCGGCTAAGCAGGGAGCCCGATGCGGGGCTCGATCCCAGGACCCTGGGATCATGACCTGAGCCGAAGGGAGACGCTTAACGACTGAGCCACCCAGGCGCCCCAAGGTTTTTGTTTTTGTTTTTTGTTTTTTGTTTTTTTAAAGATTTTATTTATTTATTTCAGAGAGAGAATGGGAGATAGAGAGCACGAGAGGGAAGAGGGTCAGAGGGAGAAGCAGACTCCCTGCTGAGCAGGGAGCCCGATGTGGGACTCGATCCCGGGACTCCAGGATCATGACCTGAGCCGAAGGCAGTCGCTTAACCAACTGAGCCACCCAGGCACCCTTGTTTTTGTTTTTTAAGATTTTATTTTTAAGTCCTCTCTACATCCAACGTGGGGCTCGAACTCCTAACCCCGAGATCAAGAGTCTCATGCGCCAACTGAGACAGCCAGGTGTCCCTGGGGTCGAGGCATTTTCAGATCTGCTAACATAGTCCCGAGTGTCTATATATCTATGTTTTGTATTTTTGTATTTTTTCATTTTTTCGTAATAAGTGTGGATTTTTAGAAATTAATGGGTTCTTTTAGAGCAGTTTTAGTTGTTTATTTTATTTTTTCCAACTTGAGAGAGAGTGGCGGGGAGAGGGAGATGAGTCCCTCATGCAGACTCCCCGCTGAACATGGAGCCGGATGCGGGGCTCTATCCCACGACCCTGAGACCATGACCTGAGTTGAAACTAAGGGTCACATGCTTAACCAACTGAGCTACTTAAGCATCCCAAGAGCAGTTTTAGGTTTATAGAACATTGAGCAGACAGTTCAGTTCCCTACCCACCCCACCCAGTTTTTGCTATAACACTGTATGTTAGTGTGGTACGTTTGTTGTAATTGATGAGCCAATCTTGATGTGTTATGAATTAGGGTCTGTGATTTACATGAAGGTTTTCCCTCTGTGTTTTAGTTTTTTGGCTTTTGATAAAGGCTTAATGTTACACCTTCATAATATATTATCATATAAAAGAGTTTCAATTCCCTAAAAATCTTCTATGCTTTACTTCCCCTCTCTTCCCTGAGCCTTTAGCAACCAGCAGCCTTTTTCTGTCTCTGTAGTTTTGGATTTTCCAGAATGTCAGATAGTTGGACTCTTAACAGCATTTAATTTTTTCAGACCAGTTTCTTTTACTTAAAAGTATGTGTTTGTGGTTTCCCCATGTCTTTTCATAGCCCCATGGCTCATTGGCTTGTTTCTTTTGACTGCCGAATAATACTCCATTGTCTGGATGGACCACAGTTTATCAGTTTACCTACTGAAGGCGGTCTTGGTGCCTTCCCTGTGTGTGTGTGTCTAACTTCATCCAGTATCTCTTGACATTTTGGAAAGCATCCTCCAAAATGGCTTTCTGGTTTTGTTGCCAAGTAGGTCATTAATTGAATTCTAAGGCCCGAAGAAAATTTTGACGAAGGAGCACCCCTCTTGGAGGGCCTGGCTGGCTCAGTTGGTGGAGCATGCAACTTTTTTTTTTTTTTAAGATTTTATTTATTTATCAGAGAGCATGAGCAGGGGAGAGGGACGGAGGGAGAGGGAGAAGCAGACTCCCTGCTGAGCAGGGAGGACGTGGAACTCCATTCCAGGACCCTGAGATCATGACCTGAGCCAGAGGCAGACGCTTAACTGACTGAGCCACCCAGGTGTCCCAGGGCATGCAACTCTTGATCTCAGAGTTAAGTTCAAGCCCCATGTTGGGTGTGGAGATTACTTAAAAAGGCACCCCTGTTGCCTACCAGGCCTCCTCCCCAAATGAGATTGCTGTGTATCCCTGGGAAATACCCCTTTTCTTCCCTCCTCAGCTCTTAGCGCTGGGTCTGTGTGTCCAGATTGTCAAGCCGTGGCCCTTTCTGAAGCACAGAAACATCTGGGCCCAGCACCCACTCTCACTCAGGTGGGGACTAGTCCCCCCACGTGGCTGGTGTCTCGCCCCCTGGGCGACAGAGACACCCAGACAGATGTGTCAGTTCAGGGGACAACGGGGACCTTGGCGGTTTGGACTCAGGGCCCCTCTCCCCATCAGTCCCACCAGCAGTACCCCCCGTCACACGGCACGGCCCTGCCCAAGAAGGCCTACTCCAAGATGGACAGCAAAGGCTACGGCCTGTATGAGGACTACGAGAACGAGCAGTACGGCGAGTACGAGGGCGACGAGGACGACGACCTGGGGAAGGAGGACTACGACGACTTCACCAAGGAGCTGAACCAGTACCGGCGCGCCAAGGAGGGCAGCAGCCGGGGCCGAGGTGAGGCCTTGCCGCGGGGCCGCGGGGCCGCGGGGCGCGGGGGCGCACGGTGTGGGCGTGGCTGGGCCCATGCAGCGTGGAGCCGGTGCACCCCCTCGGCCTGGGGCTGCGGAGCCCTGGCGTGGGAGAAGAGACAGGGGTCGTTAGGTGCAGAGAGGAGTCGGGGTCCAGAAGGAGAGGGGGCGGCAGGAACTCAGGGCTGGGGGCGTTGCAGTGAGCCAGCTGGCCAGAGGCTCCAGGGCCCGGCTGAGCTTGGGATGGAGCCAGGCGAGGAGGAGGCGGGGAGAAGCTCGCGTGGCTGAAAGCTGTTTTCTTCATCCACTTCCTGGTCAGCTGTGGTGAGAAAGAGGAGAGATGGCTTCTTTGAGATCTAGGCCAGGATAACTGACAGCTGGCTGTCCCGGCCTCCTCCCCCATCCTCCCACCTCCTATCACGCGACAGGGTGGGACTGCCACACCTCTGAACCTTGAACCTGTGGCAGTTAGGAGGATATGGTGGGGGAGGGCAGAGCCCCAGAGACCCAGCCTGGCCTCTTAGAAAAATCTCCTGCCTGCAACGTTTTGCAGCCCATGAGGGAGGAGGGCTCCCAGGATTTTCTAGCTCCGCCGTTCTTAGCCCTGCCTCAGGCCCAGCTTATTGTTTGACTGGCTGTTCATTTAGTCTTTCTTGGGCAGTCTTTCCTGGACACCTCCCTGGATAAGCCATGCTCTTTGGGGAGATTCTAGACCAGCGCTGTCCAGTAGAAATCTGATGCAAGCCACCACATAATTTAGAATTTTCTGGTAGTCAAGTTAAACAAGTAAAAGGGGGCAAAAAAAGTAAAAGGAAACGAGATTAATTTTCACAGTATATTTTATCTAATACATTCAAAATCTTATTTTAACACGTTATCCAAACAGACATACTATTTTATATTCTTTTTTTTTTAATGCAGAAAGGTGGTTTAATTAAAGCATGGGGACAGGACCTGTGGGCAGAAAGCTGCCTCTTTTTTTAATTTTTTTGAAGATTTTTATTTATTTGACAGAGAAGAGATAGCACAAGCAGGGAGAGCATCGGAGGAAGAGGGAGAAGCAGGCTCCCTGCTGAGCAAGGAGCCCTACGTGGGGCTCGATCCCAAGAGCCTGGGATCATGACCTGAGCCGAAGGCAGACGCTTAACGACTGAGCCACCCAGGCGCCTTTTCTTTCTCGTTTTCAACTAAGTGCTGTAAATCCAGTGTGTGGTTCACCCTCACGACATCTCGTAGTCTGGTCATGTTTCACTGGCTCCATAGCCACATGTGGCTGGTGGCTACTGTATTGGACAGTGAGTGCAGCATTCAGTGGACAGGTGCCCCTGTGGCAGTGTAGTGGGTGTGCGTCCAGGGTGCTGAGGCTTGAGGCCCCCACTGAGGGCACATGGGTGAGGCAAGGGGGCGACGGGACCAGCTGCCTGGCGCTGGTAGGAAGGCTTGAGGGGGAGCTGACTGACCTCAGGGGCAGAAAATGGGCTGACTTCTCTCTTGCTGGTGGGATCTGCTCCCACTCGGGGTGCTCACCGTCTGAATCACCCTGCAGGCAGCCGAGGCCGTGGCAGGGGCTACCGGGGTCGAGGCAGCCGCGGAGGGTCTCGAGGCCGAGGCATGGGCAGGGGCAGCCGCGGAAGGGGCAGAGGCTCCGTGGGAGACCACCCGGAGGACGAAGAAGATTTCTATGAAGAGGAGATGGAAGTAAGCTCTCCTCCAGCCCCAGAGGGGAGGGGGAGAGGTGGGCTGGTGGGCGCTCTTGGGAGTGGTATATGAGACTGTGGTGGAAGGAGAGTGTTTCATGGCAGGACTGTGTTTCAACATTCATTTCTTATTTCGGAATAGAGGAAACCTTCATATAGTTCCAAATTGAAAAGGTACCAAAGCTGTGAAAACATCTCCCATTCTTGGAAACAAGTTTCCTGAATGTCTTCTAGGAAAGTTTTAGACCTTTGCAATCAGGTGCTTGTTTATTCACACCCCCTAGCATGCACGTGCGCGCACACACACACACCTTCCACATTCATTGTTGTGTCCCAGCCCGAGAC